TTGCGAATCTTTAGTGCCTACGTACCACCTTTCGTGCAATAGGGGATCAGGGTACACGTAGTTCCTCTTTAAAATTTTTAAAACACAAGTGTGTTGGTTAATTTTATGAGATAAGATATCATCGTCATTGTCCGTGTGGAAAACATACTTACTACCCACAATCATGAGAAAGGAGAATTTGCATCATCTCAAAGTGGAGTATATGACTTGGATTTTAAAATCAACAATACCTCACTCAACACCCAAGTGGAAAATATCTCTCTTCACTACATATTGTAGAAGTATAATTGTTTGCATCACTACAAAGATTGACAAGAGTCTAATCTTTTGAGAAAGGTTTTAAAATAAAAAGCCAAAGTGGCAAAATGGTTTGAAATGAGATTGATTGACTTTTAGTCTTCTCACAAAAAATATCAAGGTATTATTAAATTGATTGAAGTTTATTTATGAAAATATTTTGAAAATGCATGGACCTAAGTCCAAGTTTATTATGAAAGTGGTTCAAGTTTAGAAACAAGACGAGTTTTCAAAAGGAGGAAGAAGATTTTTGAAATTAAAGAAGATGGGAGGAGAAGAAGAGACTATCCTAAAGCATAAAGGTAAAAGACAGGGATAAGAACCATTTAACCAACAAGAAGTCAATACTTGACATTATGAGTCAAGATGGAATTCCCGTTCCTTGGATTGAAACCAAACAAGCAAAGATACTAGACCTCTTGAGAGAACCAAACTTCAAATGTATTAAGTCTTCACAAAAGTTGGGCAATAAGAAAGATCATGCTCCAATAACACTTGGTGCAATAAGAAAGGTATAAGATGAAGAAGGACGGGAAAGAATATACAAACCACATTTGAATTAAAATTTAATCAAACTATTATTAAAATCATTCATCCATTTTATGGAGTTAGACTCAATACCATGGATCTAATGATGTTAATAAAGTTCATGATCAACCCAAGACCAGTCAGAAAATAATCACAAAAAAATATTGCATTTAATATATACATATTAAATAGGGTTTTAAAATGTTTTAAAATAGAAATAAGGGATAAAAATATTAACTATGTTCAAATTAATCAAGAAATATTAAATAAGACCATAGAAAAATAAAAAATAAACTCAAATATTTTTATAAAATATTTGGTAATTTTTTTAAAGTCAGAAACTATTTTTAAAATTAAAAGAAAGGAGTAAAATAAACCAAAAATGATAAAAAATAAGAAAGTCAGAAATAAAAAATAAATTAAGTCACCAATATTTGTCACAATATCATTGTATCATTCCATATTTTTTCCAGAATTTAAAAATGCATAAAAGTATTTTTAAACATTTAAAACAATTTAAATAAAGTGAAAATTTATTAAAAAAATATCAAAACACAAAATAAAATTGTGAAAAAATAAAAATCAGAAAGAGAAAAATCAAAAATATTTTTCATAATTTTTTCCAGATTTTTTGGACTTAAAATGGATTTTCTATGATTTTTTGAAATTTAAAACAATTAAAATAAAAATCAGAAAATAAAATATCAAACCAAAAAAATATGGATCATCTGATCATTGTCAAAACGCGTTAGTAAGCAGATCAAGTGGACCTAGCGCGATGTGCATGTTATGTACTTTAGTGAATAAAGCACTTAATCAAATGTAAAATCAGATTAAAAAAAACAAACGGCACACCATCATTGGTTAGAAGATGACATGTTGGTCATCTTCAACCTCCATCCAGTCCCAAAACCAGGTCACTCAAACTGTAAAATTAGAGCACGAGACCTATGTCATTCGCTTCGTCTCTTCAAGACAAAGACAACCACACCTTTGCGACAAATTTATGTAAATTGTAGCTCTAGCAATTTGGAAGGAGAGTTTTGAAAAGGAATTTAAAATTTCATGGTCAAAACGTGTTTATAGAAAAAAGCAAGTGTTGTGACTAGAACCAGGGCAATGAGAGCTTCACAGTGATATCAAAGTATTGAAGCATTGATGGAGAAATCTACCTATTGAAGTTGAGATGTAGAGCTCTGAAACTGGACTTATATGGATCAATATAGGTCACAATTCTTGAAGGTAATTGTAGGTTAGGTTCAGGGAAGATCAAGGAAGGTGAATTGATAGAAAAATTGGACTAAAAAAGGCTTGAACACTAATTTCGAAGTTGCATAAAAGTGAGTTACGGAATGAGTTTGGCAGGGTGATTTTGGCTGTTTAAGCTTGAGGAAATGAATGAGGGATGACCCTCTATTTATAGAGAATTAAATGGAATGTTCAAGCGTGTGAAATGATGAAGTTTAGAGGGAAATCGTGTGAAGTTGCAAAGAAGAAAAGTGTGACTTCTATTTTGATCAAAACTCATCCAAAACGCGTGTTTTGCTATGCTATTCACTTCTGGAAGTTCACTAAACATGTTTAGAAGCAAAAACGCGCAGAAAAAATGTGTTTAGAAGCTAAATCAAGGATTTCAAATTCTGACTTTTGAAGAAACTTCAGTTTCAAGTTACCAAGTTAAAATCAATGGCATTCTCAGCTCATGGGGTCTTAGGGCATGATTCTTGATGCTTTAGAAAGATGAGATTACAAGCTTTGCAATGGGAAAAGAATGTAAGCAAATGGATGTTTGAGCTGAAAGTTTCAATGATTCAAAGTTGGGAAAAAGAGGTTGACTTTCCACACTTAGAAATATTTCATGTTTTTCTTCAAAAGTGACCTATAATGTTTTGCATCCAAACATGGCCTTCCACTTAGAATTTGTTCTTGACCAAAAAATGATGGCATGAAATATACCTCTTGAATGACATTTTGAAACTTGAACCGTTCAAAATCTCTAAAAATTGAGAGAGTTATGGATTGTTGAAGTTGGCAAAAAAATCATGAAATGACCTATAATCTTTTATATTCTTATGGCATCTTTCATCCATTTTCTCACATCCTCAAGATCATTATGGAAAAATACTGGGCTCAAGGTAATAAAAATTGACCAAGTTATGATCATTTGAAGTCACACATGGAAAATTAAGGGTTCATCTGGAGGACTTGTAATCTTTCTTCACCATCAAGTTTCTTCCACATGGAAACTCCTTGAAAATTTTGAAGTGATTTATTATTAACCCTTTGAAGAGAAGGATGTCTTTAGAATCACTCAAAAATACCAAAAAATGAGCAAGATATACTTCTTTTAAGTTCAAAACCCTAGCTCCTAGATCAAGAAAATGCTTTGAGGAACTTTGACAATTTTGAACAATCTTCTTGTACCAACACTTTTGCTTTGTAAATAAAAGTTGTTGAGGATGATAATGAGAACTCATAGAAACCAAAACCACTTCCATATCTTGAGAATTGAGAGAACTATGCACTTGTGACCAGTGGGAACAAGGCCTTGTCCAACCATGACAACTTCTTCAATCAACCCCTTATACTTTTGAATTAATCTTGACAACTTTGAAATGTGTTGAACCAAAATAAACCTTGCCATACCATTTCTTCCAAAACAACTTCAAAGATGAGGTTTGAATTTATCAAGCTTTATTGACTAGGGCATGAAAATAAACTCATGAACCCATGGATCAACTTGCTAAGCCATATTGCCTTTACCTACATTATTAACAAGTGAGACAAACCAACATTGCATTTTATTAATCAAAAGGAAATTCAAAACAAAACATGCATAATCACAAAAGAAAAACAAGTCAAGGTGCTTGGTGATTCCTCAAAGAACAAAGCTAAAGATAAGGAGGAGAACCAAAAGCCCTAATATGATCTTGTTGTGATTGAATCAATATGGTATGATGAAGGAATCTTAGGGGGAAAAATTAGGATACAACATAGTACACAAAGTCAGAACTCCTTCTTTTGACAACCATGTTGATCCTCAATCTTCCATAATCATAATCTCAACCCTTCCTTTACATCATTTAGGATATCAACCTTTCTTCAGAGATCCCAATAATTCAGTTCTTTATTTATCAACCAAAGAGATTATTAATCTTGATAGTATTTTTAAGAAAAGATCACAAAAGATATGATGAATATAGATAGCTTAGACACGATGAATTAGGTGGTGTGTTGAAAGTAATTCCTTGTGTCGAAGCAGTTTGCTCGACAGAGACAAGGGAGTGTCGAAAAGGTTTGATTTGATTTAGAAGTGGAGAAAAAGTTTGTTACATACAATTTTGTTTTAGATCTAGAATATATAAGATTTGATTTATGTCTAAAATAGATAGATTTGATTTAGTTCTAAAATAGGTATTTTGGGCTTTCATAGTTTTGGGCTTTGCCTTAGGGAGCAAGATAATCTAAATCTATAAATAGAGGGAGTAACCCTTATTATTGTAATCAAGTCAATTAAGTTGTATTCACAGAATTTGCAGTTGCAAATGAATAATAAAGTTTTCCACAGTTTGTGGGGAAAGAGAAACTCTACAGAAAAATACTTTCTTTCTTTCTCTATCTTTTATTTTTCATTGTCATCGTGTGGTGATATCAACCTTGTTCATCAAGATTGATAGAAATTCATCATAGATTTTAGTGGATTTCCAACACATATTAGAATAGGCGAAGACATAATATAAAGAGGGTATAGTGCACGACCTTCAATGATTCCATGAGGCCCCGAAGAATAGTCACCACCATGAGCACTCTGAAATGACTGAACAAGATCTCTCCAAACCATGACCAGCTGAAGCAAACAATAAACTCCAAAGAACACACTAAGATATCTATAGGAGGCCAACGACATTCAAATCGTTGTAGGCTAAGATTCATAATAGGGTTTTCAAACTAGGCTGAGGCTTAAAACTTCTTGTTTCGACTAGTTTAAAATAAAATTGATTCAAACTTTAAAAACAAATCAAGCATAAATACTCCTATACCACTAGCATAAGGTCAATTAATGCACATCAAGTGCCAATAAACTGTACTAAACATTACATACCAGACATTCATATGTCAATAAAAAAAATGAATAGGCACCATTGCACTACGATTTAAGATCAAATATCATTATATCAACTTCTTTTCTTTATTCGGTTGAATTCTTCACCTAAACCATTAGTGATAGAAGATGGTGAGATCAAAGAAGCTTTCAAAATGCTGAGACACGACATTGCATCACAAAAAAATCACTGGTAACAAACCACTGACTAATAAGAAACTAAAAATAAAACTAAAAGTAATAATCTTTACCTGAATTTCGCCAATGAGAAGATCACATTCTATCATCAGAAACCGGAATCTTCAATTTTGCCAGAACCGAATAAGCACAAGTGGAGAAACCTGGTGTGAGAACCAAGTCATCAATCACCATGTACAGTGATGGCTTCTTGGTGAAACCTCTTCCACCAGATCTGTTATATGCTTCTCCAGTTGATGACTGTGGCTCTAGATACTTCAAATGAACACTTGCATAATCATTTGACCAATGAGAACCCCCAGATGAACGAACTAAATTGGTGCTAATTACTTCTCCGTACATGTTAATCTTAGTGACACAAGCATAATTACAAGCATGAGCTTCATCAATTGGAAACACCTGGTTGCAGATTTTAAACTTGTGTGCATGTTCAGTTTTAAGGAGCATTTCCTTTAAATCAGGGAATCTGAAATATTTACAACGACCCAAAACAATGATAAACTTGTAAAGATTATCGATACTTCCCATGTTAGAATTTGCATTTAGCAAGTGCTCAACAACTCCTAATGGGAACGTCAAAACACTAAAAAGCAAATTGACAAAAGCCTCTCCACCTAAAGCAAACAAAATTGTTTTACTCGACATTCACACAAGAAGCTTAACTCTAATTCTCCTTTGTCTTGATTTTGGTTTATGGTCGCCAATTTCATAATCAAATAAAGTAAAGGATTGTGAATTCGTGTTCTCAGTGTCCAAACTCTTCCTCAAGAACACGTCTTTTAAAGGATTGTCATCTAATTCTTTCCAAGCCTGGATGGTCCCACTAGGTAAATACTACAATTAATCTTTAGCTCTTTCAATTAAAGTGAAACCAAACAATCTAAGTTTTATTTGGCTATAAGTCATTTTATCTAGTCTACACATAATACGAGTTTCATGGAAACAAGAATTATGTTCTCTTGGATCTCTAATAACATGCCCGACAAATTTATTCTCCCTCAAACCTACTGGAACAACACTCTTGATATACAAAATTACAAGATTTGCTAGTTGGGTGAAATTTGCCCAACATCTGTTCTTCTGCAATAATTTCTCAACGAGAGCCAAACATCAAAATTCCAATAATTGTATTATTAGAATTTGAGAAATATATAGAGGTATCCAATGAGATTGAAAAACACTTTTAAATATTTTGAATTTATATATATGTAATATTTGCATTTGCTCCATGTTTTATAATAAAAATGCATTTTAACGAATAAAGTATGTTTTAAAACGAGTCTTATTCTCAATTTTAATGTAAAATCAATCACTAAAAAAATATAAAATCACATTTATTTAATATAATAATAATAATATAACAATAATAATAATAATATATATTATAATAATTTTTAATTTTTTTTAATAATAACAAAGTATTGAAAAAAAATACACAAATAACCATATTTCAGTAAAAATTACGTTAATCTATTATCTATCTATAAAAATCAATGTCCCTGGATTTTACCAAAACACCAAAGCTGATAAAATGCTTTCTTGGTCTATTGTATTGGGGTAAATTAGGAAACTCAAAAATATCTTGCACCACATTCATTTGAATCTGATGTGGCACTCCCACAATTTTTCACCACATTTTCAAATTTTTTTTCCAAATAAATCCATGCCATTATGCCTCTCTTTCTCTTCCCCATGCCAAACCATAATTCGTTGCAATTCAATATGTCTCTCTTCCTCTTCCCCATGCCAAACCATTATGCCTCTCTTAATCAGTTTTCAAATTCAAATGGAACCTCAACAGTTTTTCAGTCTTTCTTCATTGCTGCAGACGTGAGGAGTCGTTTTCCATTGCTTAACACCTTGCTGTCTCTGCGCTATTACGAATTCCTGCGTGAGGATGGCGCGCCCAATCGAGTATATCAGTAGCATTGACGATTCGAAGGATTTGTGGAAGGTTGCTGTTAGATGTAAGCATATGTGGTCTGTTACCAGTTCTCAGAATAGAGAGCACTTAGAGCTTATTCTGTTTGATTCAAAGGTATAATACAATCTAAACTTTTCTGCTTTGGAATTCTGATTTTGTTGTAACTGTACTGTTATATGATACTGATTTCAAGATGTTTGTATTTTCACAGTTGGATTTGATTCAAGCCATTGTGCCATCTTATTTGGTATCAAAATTCAAAACACAGGTTGAAGTTGGTTGTTCCTACATAATGCAGGTTTGTATTTTCACAGTTGGATTTTTTTCTAGCCATTGTGCCATCTTATTTGGTATCAAAATTCAAAACACAGCTTGAAGTTGGTTGTTCCTACGTAATGCAGAATTTCAAAGTTTCCAGCAATGATTTCTCCTTCAAATCCACTGATCATAAGTTCAAATTGATTTTCTGTGGTTCAACTTCCGTCAAGAAGGTCCAACTTTCTGAGATACCTCTGAACCATCTCAAGTTAATTGGAATAAATGCTATTATTGAGGGTAAATACAGAACGAATTTGTTATATGGTGAGTTACCTTTTTACTGTTATAATAGAATGCATTGTATTGTTACTTTTCTGTTATCCATAACTGTCTGTGGTGAACTTTTGTGCAGATATAATTGGTGGGGTTACTGAAATATCCCAAGCCCAGATAATTCCTGATAACAACAAAAGCAAGGTTGTGTTTTCATTAACTGATCTGAGGTAGGTGTTTCATTTTGTTTGTTAAAATTGATGCTGACAAATATAAAAGTTTAACATGTTCATGTTGTTTGTTTTGAAATTCCTGTGAATCAGCAAACATCATGTGCAATGTACTCTTTGGGGTAAATTAGCTGTGCAACTGAATGAGTATTATACGACTCATAAGGCTGATGGTAGTATTGTTCTCCTACTTATGAATGCAAGGATCAAGGAACCTCAAGGTTTGCTATGTGACTATTTCTTATTACATCCAATTATTATATCCAACTTTAAGTGTTGTCATTTATAAATATCTCAATTTTCAGGAAATTATCCTTTAAATGTATCAAATGCTTGGAACGGCACAAAACTGCTCATCAATGATTTGTCTATTGAGGAGGTTAAAAACCTTAAAGAGAAGTAAGTGATTTTATTCTGAAGTTATGAATTAGCAACCTATGATTTCTAACAGCCTGTTTTCATTCTGATCTATGATCATCAGACTTAAAGATGATCTGCCGACGCTCTCATCCTCAAGCATGAAAATGGAAACCACAAATACCTCTGTTTTTTCTTATTTGGACAAATTTGTAGGGAAAGCTGAAGTGTTGAGTCTGTCTGATATTGCATATCTGCAGACAGTACGTTGCTCTTTAATACATGACTGTCTTAGATTGAGGAATTACACAGATTGGGTTCTAATCCATTTTTTGAGACATAATCCCATCTTTCTGTTTCAGGAAACTACATGTGTGACTGTTGCAACTCTGGAGAAGTTTGAATGTGGGCAGTCAGGATGGTATTATGATGGATGTAGTGAATGTACCAAAAGTGTGACTTTGAAGGATGGAAAATTCATGTGTTATTCCAAACACATCAGTTCTGAGCCAGTCCCAAGGTAACTTCTAAGTATTGCATATCAATGATTATCATCATATAACCAAGCGCTTCATTACTGACAATTTCTTATTTTTACCTTTCATGGTACAGGTTTAAGCTTGAAGTGCTTACCTCCGATGGAAAGTTAAAATACAAGTTCGTATTTTGGGATGTAGATTGTGTAAAGTTGATTGGGAAGTCCGCCCTTCAGATGAAGTTGGATTTGATGGAGGTATTTTCCATTTGTCTAATATGTAAGATAGATAATTTCCACGTAACTAACATATATTGTTTTAATCATTTAGACTGGAGATTTTGATCCCCTTGAATTCCCTTATGAACTTGATGTGATGCTGAAGAAGGAGTTGGCTATAAGAGCAGTGTTTCAACCAAACAAGGCCAGTCTTTCTGTAATCGGATTTAAGGCAGATGAAGTGCTACGTACCAAAATAAAGGAGATGTTTAAATGTGAAGAGGTAGAGGTACTGCTGTACTAATGTTTTACTGTTGTTAAAAACAGTATCATGTGCATTAAGGTAACCTCCACTGGTGGAAGTTAAGTGTAAAAACTGATAAAACCAGGTTTTAGCAGATTTTTAAGGTAACCTCCACTGGTGGAAGTTAAGTGTAAAACGTGTCAAAAACCAGAAAACCAATTTTTCAATACAACTTCCACTGGTGGAAGTATAGTGTAATCTAGGTGTAAGACAAATTTATTTGGTAACTTCCACTGGTGGAAGATCAGTGCAAAAACTGACAAAAAATATTTTTAGCTGATTTTTAAGGTAACCTCCACTGGTGGAAGTTAAGTGTAAAACGTGTCAAAAACCAAAAAACCAATTTTTCAATACAACTTCCACTGGTGGAAGTATAGTGTAATCTAGGTGTAAGACAAATTTAAAGGTAACTTCCACTGGTGGAAGATCAGTGCAAAAACTGACAAAAAATATTTTTAGCAGATTTATAAGGTAACCTCCACTGGTGGAAGTTAAGTGTAAAACGTGTCAAAAACCAGTATCATGTGCATTGGATTTTTTTTAATAATTGTTTAAAACTTGCAGCACACTTCTAAGATTGTCGTCTCAACGGATGACACTCGGGATGATATGCATACAACATCGGTATGTTTTAAATAGGAATGACCTATTACTCTTGCCATCACATTTGGAACAATTGTCTAACGTTTATTTCTTGCGTTTTTTAACTTGCAGTGTACTCCGACCATCAGCACCTCGGAAAAACAGTCTCATGTTGATCCACAAACAGTTTCAGTGCGTCTTTTTTTAGCTTTCAACATTAACAAATTAGCCTATTAAACAATGTCTTACTTCCATTTTTATGCTACTGATTTTGTAATAACTCTTTAATGGCAGGATCATATATCAATCACTGCAGATTATGACCCTTCAGTTGCCAACTATGCACTTACACCGTCAAAAAGATCTATTCCTGAGACAGTTGAAGAACTCGACAGTGCCCAACTATCGTCCACCAAGATAATAAGGGACATCAAGCTGGAGAAATGATGCAGTCAATTATCGTCGACGATTTATTATTACTTTATGCTGTTTTGGACAACATTGCACACCTAATTTTGATTGATGTAATGAAATATTTCTGGTTTACATTTTGTTTATTCTGGTTTATGAGGATTTGATTTGTCATTCTTGCTTTTTGTTTGATCCTTTTGACATTGTATATGAAATACTGATATGATTTTAGTCATTTAAGCTACAAAAAACTATGCATAATTTACAGTACAAAAAGCAATATGATGTTGGTAATTCCTTATTTTGTTTAATATTCTGGTTTATGAGGATTTGATTTGTCATTCTTGCTTTTTGTTTGATCCTTTTGACATTGTATATGAAAGACTGATATGATTTTGGTCATTTAAGCTGCAAAAAACTATGCATAATTTATAGTACAAAAAGCAATATGATGTTCCAAGAATGAATATGTCCCCTTCCCAATCTCCTTGGCCTACAACAAACATCATTTACAAGGAGGTTTTCAAAAATATTTGACTGTGGCGTCTTCTTAACAACATGTAACCAATAGTTTTTGAACCTGTATATGCATACACAGATTTTGAATATAAC